TTTTTTAATCTTGCTATTCTTGGATTGAGAGACTCTTTTAGGTACTCTTGGAGATGCTCTTAGAAAATAATATAGAGCTGGGAGGCAACATCAAATAAAAAAATGTTGCTAAAAAATCAGCTCCAACTTCCCTTTTTCATGGAGATTATTGTGACAATGTCTTGGACTATCTGAATCGTTATAAATGATGTCATCTTCAAGCAAGTGCAGCCTTCAATTATTCATTGCAGATCAGTCTTCAGAAGAGAATTTGTCCAAGTTATTCTTTGAGCAAAAGTAGTTTAGCTCTTAATGGCTAGAAACTTATGTGTAGTTCTTTAGATATTTTTCATTTCTTTATATGTTTCTTGGGACTCATTGTAAGACCTGTATTCAGTTTTTTAAAATTTAATAAAAGCACAGTAGAGGTACCCCTCCTGTTTCCATAAAAAATGTTACTTGTGAGTTTGACACTGGTTCTTCCAAAAGTCACCCACTGAGGTCGCCGGAACTCCGTCTTTTTCGTTCTTGACACCCGTACTTTGCTTTGGTCGATGCCTCGACGATGAAACGGGAAAAGGCTTGTAACACCCTCGGTGTTACACCGTAAATCATTTACTAAAACATGTCATAAGCATCATGTTTATGTGTTAATGCATGTAATAGAGTGTGTAGATCAATTTTCGTAACTCGAAATGATCAACGGAAATGTGAAATAAAAGTTAATTCCAGAGTCATGTTATATCACTTAGGGTTTAAAACCAATTTTTATTAAGAAAAAATACTATAGAACATGTATGTGATACTTGAATAAAGTTTGAAGTACAAACTTTGTAGATGACAATGAAATACCTACGGTCGAAAAATGATATTACTAGATAAGATTTCCAATAGCTTAGAAATGCAATCTGAAATAGAGTTCAACTAAAAACTTTGAAAATTTATTGAACTTTGGAAAGGGTAGACATTGCTTTATTCATCAATTTTTGTAGAAAATTTTAGTTAAGAAGCAGAGTAGTGTCAGGGTCTGTTTTAGTAGCCTAGTGTACCCTCTTTGGTATAGCGAAAGTGGTTTGGGTATTGGATCAACGGCTTAGTCGTGGTCAATGCTTTAAAATCCGTGCACAACACTCCGGTTTATTTCCCTCGCGTGGGCGCAGTCACCGCGCGTCAGTGGTCGTCGCCGCCGCATCGAGCGATTCTGCGCGTGTGCGTGTTGGCGCGCTCGGCGGTCCACCATAGGCCAGTCAGCCTGGCTACGCGTTGCTGCTGCCACGTGGGCCTGGCGTCCTAGCCGCCTTATCACGCGAACGTCCCGTACCACTGCCGTGCTGCTGCTCTGGCCGCTTCACTGGCCTCAGTGGCCTACCACCACGTGGAGCCGTGGATGCCAACTCGTCCTGTCGCGCTGGCCCACCACCTGCTGCCGTTGTCGTGCGTTGCTGCTGCTCGCACAATCGAGCGCCGTGACCACCTTCCCCATGCGCTGCCCCATCGCACATCACGACGCTGTTGCTGCCGTCGCGTCACCGTCTCGCTCTCGCCTGCTGCTGCACCATGCTGCGCCTCTAGTCCGCCTGGGCGTTGTGCGCGCGGGGTCGGACCACCATTGCCATGCCATTTATGGCACTACGGCACATGGGCCACGCCGACCTTGAGCACCGGCCATACTAGTTGCGCCAGCCGCATCGCGCCAGGGTGCACTCGCCAGCTACCGACCCCGTCCTCACCGCCTCCCGCCCTCTTGTTTCTCCCTTGCCCACCTCTGTGCGCCCGACCGCCTTAGTTTTCGCCATCACATCGCAGCTATGGTGAGCCAGGGCGTAGGCACTTGCCTTCAATTTCACGTGCCCATGTATGCGCATTGATGTCCGCGTGCCAACCGTCCCCACCCCACCTTGAATCGAGCCATGACGAACTCCAATTTCGAGTTTCCCATCCGCCGTGCCATTAAGGTTGGGATCGGCCGTGGCCGAGGACAGCCAACCACCGCTCCACCCTCGTCAATCCAGCTACACCACGAACTTTGCCTTCACCTCCACTTCACCCTGCGCACCTCACTTGCACCTCTACCGCCTCACTGTAGCCACTAACGTGGCCGCGCCATCTCAGAGCGCCGCCGCATCCCACTACCCACACGTGGCTAGCCCTATTCGGGGAACCTCCGGCCAAACCACCACCACAAATGCAACTAGGGTAAGATAGTGATGCTATAGCCCTAGCTAGTTCACCCCACGGTGGCTTAAGGTGGCCGGCATGGCCGTGCCGCTGTCGCGCATGGCCGCACGGCATGGTCATCACTTCCGTGAGCTCCGCCGCTCCTGTAAATTAGGCTAGTGTAGGCACTAGGGTTGTAGACGGGGGTTGGCCTGTTAGTGGTGCCAGCGTGGGTCCCAGCTGGTCGGCGTGGCCGCCTAATGCCATTGCCGGCGCGCCTCACCGTTGTAAAGAATAGAAAGGTCCGAGGGTTCTTTTGCATAAGTGTTGTCTCTAGGAATAGTAACATAGACTGCGGGTTGTTTTGCTCATAGCCCAAGGGCGTTTTTGCATATGTGCCAGCGCACGCAGGCCTCCTCGCCGTAGGCCGCGCCTCTTCTGTGGGCCGTCGTGCTCTCACGCGCGTTGCGCCGCGTGGGCCGCGTGGGCCGAAATCGGTTTAGAGTTTTTGTGGAAAATAGAAATAGCTTTTCATTTGTAATTCTGAGCTAAACTTTAGTAAATCATATAAAATCATGTAGATGTTCAAAAATTACGAAACCAATTTTGTTAGGTTACTAAAATTGTGATCTATCTGTTAGTGTATTTAGTTCATATATATATTTGTTGATACCAGCGGCTATTAAATCATTTGTGAGTATTTAGTATTATTTAGATTAATATTTGTAGGAATTTTCGTGAAAAATTGGTAATAGCTTTGACCATGGAATTTTTACAGTAGATTCATTGTATTATTATGTGCTCACTGTAATTTTTGTAGCCTTATAATAGGTTGAGAAATATGGTAGCCAAGTACTCCTTGTTGTAGTATATAGGAAATCGTTAATAAGAGTAAGAATATATTTTAGTTGCTAAGTAGCACTTGTAGGTGAAACCCTGCGAGTTTGATGGGAGTGATGATTAGCTCGATATCTTAGTCATTAGAGCTAGCTTAATGGCTTAGTAGATGTATTCTTATTTTAAGAACTACTATTGCCTTAATATTGAGTGTTGCATCGTCATTGCGTGCATGTAGAGAACGAGTTGGTGGAGTTCGTGACCGAGGGCGAGCAGGAGTACGAGGAGGTGATTGAAGAGTACGAGAAGGAGATCTTCGTGCAGGAGGAGGTCCTAGAGCCGCCATGGACTGACTGAGCTGACATCGCGCCCGCCTAAGGCAAGCCCTGGTGTATAACCCTTATTTTGAATAAGCACTGAATATATATATTTATGATGTGCATTTAAATTACAGGCATTTTATGGAAACCACCTGCATAAATATATTTGTCCTATGAGTCCTACTAGTACAGGTGCGAGTAGCTGCTATGCTTAGGATTTTCGGTAATGTGAGTAACCTGTCGTTACTCAAAATAAGTGATTATTATTATCACTTGTGATAAAATGGTGAAAGGAAATAGAGATCGGACAGGGATATGGTACGGGTATTGGTGGGTGTAAGAGGTTGTGTCCCACGGCCAACGGGGCATAGCTTGGTTACACTGTTTTCCCTGCCTGTGTCGGTTAAGGACCGGCCGTTGCATTGAGTTCTAGGCATGTCACAGACTTATTATCTTGAGCACATACTTGCTTATGGGAGCATGGAAGGCTCGTTGCTCTCTTGTCATGGGTTCCGGCTCTTTTCCAGATCGACTGATTGGAGGCGGGGATGGTGGAGGTCTACGGACCGCACTGAGTCCGGGACTCATGTGTGGGGACTTGGAGTCTAAGTTTGGACGGTGACCTGAACCCCTTGACAGGAGAGTGGTGGGTTAGTCCTGCTTGTGCCTGCGGTACAAGCGAGTCATATGTTTCGGAGTACCCAGCTAGACACATTGATTCGGGAATCGTCGGGTAATCCGGTACGGCTTGTCTACAGTCTAGCGCCGTAGTAAGAACTGAAAGATGAAAAATTATAAAATGGATCTATTTGCTCAACTCTTGCTTGAAAGTAAAATATGTGCTTATATAGAATGGCTAGATAATGAAATAATCATGACTGCTAATAAGAAACATACATAAGGATTCACTGCAGTATTGCTTTCCGCAAAAAGAAAACCCAGCAACCCAAAAAACTTATCATATCCTTTGGAGTCGGAAAGTTATTCCCACTAGTCAGGTAAGTCTTGCGAGTACATTGTGTACTCATGGTTTATTACCTCTGTTGCAGGTGCAGCTTGAAAAGTAGCTGTTGTGTGGAGGATTCATCTGGTGGGTACAGACGGATCCTTGTATTCTACCATTAGATGTTTATTGTAGTTTCACTGTTTAAATTTCGCACTCTGAACTTGATACTGTAATAATGTATTTTTAAGAACTCTTGTTGTATAAAATTGACTAAGTAATATAAATTCGTTCTTATTATTGGATCTTAGAGAAAAAACGTGGATTATTCGAGTTCTTCTTTAGGGTGTGCTCGACGGAATACGCCTGATGTTGCTTGTTTTCGTGGTGCTTAGGGTCTGGAGGAAGACGAGAGCCTCCAAAAGTGTGTTATTTCGTGCTGCTCTACTGATAGAGCCCACACCATGCTACAGTGTCAACGAAAGCTGACCAAAAAGTAGTAGGAAGCAAACACATTAGCATTAACATTCAGCGATGCATCCAGTTCCAGCTTCCACCCGACAAGCCGAGCACTTCACCCTTTCCCACTTCACCTCCGCTGTTCCGCATCTGTGGTCAAATACGACGCTCGCGTCCATACCGATCCGTGTTTGCCCATTTCCTCCTCTCCAACTCGCTTAGCCTGCGCATCTCCAAGCGAGCGAGCTAGGCGTAGCAGGCGGGAGCTTGTTTGGGCGGTGGTGGAGGAGAGAGGGAGGGTGGAGATGAAGGCGGTGGAGCGCGGGAAACTGGTGAGGAGCCTTCGGCACGAGTCGCGGCGGCTGCGTCTACTCGTCCTCGTCATCGGTTTCTTCCTCGTCACGCTCACCTTCGTCGTCGTCTCCAAGCCCGACGCCCTCCTCTTCAACTGTAAGCACTGGGCTGTCCAGGCCCACTGCCATTTGTTCACTACTCTTGGTTCTCTTGGAATCTATGGACACACGGTGCTCATGGATGAATCTCATTTCAGTGAACGGCAGGCTGTCGGTGGACCAGGCGCCGCGCTCGCTCTTGATCCGCCAGCGGGTTGACGCCGACGACGGGAGATCCTCCGACACTCTCGCCTCTGCCTCTGGGGATCCAAAGGTGGTCGACGACGATACCGCCGGCGAGGAAGCCAACGCCAACGCCAACGCCAGAGGTGAAAACTTGCTAATCCACCACTTAATTACCTCCTCCCTCTCAGCAAATCAAGTGGTCTAGTCAACACCGATGAATTTGGTAGTCTTGGCATTTTTCAATTCAGATGTCATAGCACTGAGCCTTCGCTTTACGGCAGGGACCAGTGAAGAGGAGGAACGGATGCTCGCTAGTGAGCCCAAGCAGAGGAAAAGGGCAGTGGAAGCCACTGCATCTGAGATTTTAGGTGAGCCGTCACCGTTGGATCCGTCAAGAATTTCTTTGTCTAGCTCCAGCTTTGGATGCTCATCCCTCTCGTTGGGCTCGTATTCGATTCACGAGTCTGACATCGCTAGTTCGAGTTCAGGCTCTTTTAGTGAAATTAATGCGCTTTACCTGTGAATCTTTGCTGGTGGCATCTTTGTAGGTGGGGAAGATGACGAGGGAAGGAAAAGCCAGCAAGAGGGGCACAAAGAGCACCAGCAGCAAAAGTTGACCCTCCCAACTGTTTCGAATTATACCATTCACGATGCCACTGATGGCACCGACAATGGCAAACAGGAAGGTGAGAGACCACACTGATTTCCTTTTTTTTTTCCTAAGGGAAGCTTTATTAATTTCAAGATTGTTACATGGAGAGAATATAAAAACCATGTAGCACTCCTGACCTCTCTATAACCATGATACACATAGCCTTACGACACACTAATTAAACTCAATCCATAGACTAGACTATCTGTAGGATCGATTCACTCAAAGATAGGCAATCAGAGGGGGGGTGAATGATTGCGGAAGCCAAAAATTAATTTTAAAACTTACCCCTAAACACAAAACCAAATTACATCTCGGTTCAGGTTCTGGACAGAACACTGCACCTTCACTAAAAAATATCTCGACAGAAAACCGCAGCTCCAATTGATCTCCAAATTTAACACAATAAACTATATGAAGTTTGTGAACTAACCCAGTTGGAATCACGTCAATCGGAGGTCTATAACTCGAGATATAAAATAAACAAGTGCGCTGTGTCTGATGGTGACGAGAACTGATCAAGGCTTAATTTCGTGATTATGCAAAATCATTAAAAACTTAATCAACGAAACTTCTCAAATCAAAAGCTTGATTCCCTAGCACAGTTTTAGATGGATCGAAACAAATCTATTCTTGAGAATAAGAAATCAATCTAATACTAAAGGCTAGGCATACAAAACATGAGCAAAGAGTGAAGCGAAGGAACGAGATTACCAGCTCATCAATTATCAAACCTTGATCTTTATTACTCCAAGATGTTTACAAGATGCATCCCACAAGCATTCACAAAAGGATTCTCCACAAAATCCCGAAGCCCTAAAACAGCCACTAGAAACTCTTCTGCACTACAGCTTCTCCTATCGTCGCACACGGACCTAAGCTCCTCGTCGGTCTCCTTTTATCTGCCGAGCCAACTCCTCCTCAGCCACGCACGCAAACCACATGCATGCAGCACGTTTACTCAGCCAAATGCAACAGCCATCTATGCACCCATACGTGCACCAGGAAACCACGCATCACAAGAGGACCAAGTCTGACCAGCCTTCGTTCTCCTTCAATCACAGCACCAGCTGCCTGCCCCTATCCGAATCCAGCATGGACTCTTTCCTTGCAAACACAGCCAACCGTCAAGGCTCGTGCATGCACCAAAACATGTCCAACCTAGACACCATCTAGGCATCACGTACACATATGTATGCCAATGCACATCTGCGACCTTAATCGCATGTTTGAGCAACACCGTCCTAGCCGCACCGACCAAGACCAACACCACACCATAGCCCATACATCTCCCGTGTACGTCTCATGGAGTGATCGTCTTCACGTACATTGTTCTCTTAACCCGAACGTCCCGCATGACATCCTTGACCGATAGGACTTAGTTCCTCCCTAAACTTAGTCCCGAAACCTCAGTTCCTCCCTGAACCTAGTTTCAGTCCGTCATCGACCATGTTCCGCCTCAAGCAATACCTGCACATGAACAAACACACAATCGCGTACGAGACCAAGTCCACGACTTGACTCAAATCAATCCGCACAACATCTCACATGAGCATGTCATGCAACAATACCAAATCACCATGCTATCACAAGCATATATAAGCATCACATGCATATCGCCCTATGCCATAATTCGAATCACTTTGCAATGCCAATTTCATATCAAACCAATTTTTCATCACATGATCTCACACTATCACCCATGTGCTTGGGTTAAAAATACTCCTTGGCCACCTATGCCAATCGTTGAGATGCCACTCTAACCAAATCCTGTGATGTTGACTTCTGTAGTGTAGCCCATGTACAAAGCCAATGTATAACCGAATAAATAACCTGTAAGGGGGAAGATCAGTGTGATTTCTTTTTATTGCATCTTTGTGATTTCTTGTTTTGTGTCATTGATTTAGGTCAGTGTGCCTTTTGATACTTATTATGCATAACAGTGCCGATACTTGTTCATGGTGTTTTTTGGTCCTGCTGATGTTGTTGCATATGGCAAAACAGATGCAGAATTTAAGCTCACTCCGGATGTTGACCAGAGAAATGGTCGAGACAGATCTCATCAAGCAGGTTAGTAATTTCTTGGATAAATAAAACTAGGAGAATACCCTGCGAGTTGCTGCGGGGATTCCAGATAATTTAGACTATTTATATTTATAGATATATGAATGAAACTATCTTAAATTAATTTTCGTGAATGGTTTGACACATCTGTGGACAACTAAGTGCATGTTAGTGGATGAAGAGATAACCATCATAATTACATGTGCTAGTTGGCTATAATTGCAAGTTCTAGTGGATTGTTGATGTGGATAGCTTGCATGTTGAGAGAAATCTATAGTGGGGTTTAGCTTTATAAGAGTATAGGATGTGTGCTGAGAGAAAACAGAATATATCATTCAGATTCTGCTGGTTCTGGTGATAGTAAAAAGAATTGATCCACAAACCACTTTTTACTGTCTAGTTATTCATCCTTCAATTGGATTAATGGGCGTTCTGCACATTAACTATGAGACAATGACTTATATATCCATCTTGTTTGATTTTGTCTGCTCCACTGACAGTTGTCCATTTTTCAGCATTGGATAATGTGGAGTGGTACAAACCATTGTGTGATTTCTCAAACTTCAGAGCAAATATCTGTGAGATGAGAGGTAACATCAGAATACACCCAAATGGCAGTTTGGTCATTTACATGGAACCTATAAGTTCAAGTTCAAAGAGAAATGAACAATGGAAAATTAAGCCTTACCCTCGCAAAGGTGATGAATTATGCCTCAATCATATTACAGAGGTGACAGTGAAATCCAGCAAAGTGGCACCTGAGTGTTCCAAGTACCATGACGTGCCTGCTGTGATCTTTGCTCTGACTGGATACACTGGGAATCTTTTCCATGACTTCACCGACGTGCTTGTCCCCCTTTTTACGACTGCAAGTGAGTTCAATGGTGAAGTTCAATTCCTAATCACAGACATGGCTATTTGGTGGACAAGGAAGTATGCAGTTGTGTTTGAGAAGTTAACTAAGTACCCCTTGATTGATTTCAACAAAGACAATGAAGTGCATTGCTTCAAGCATGCCATCGTTGGCCTTCATGCTTACATGGAGTTCACAATTGACCCGTTAAAGGCTCCACATAATTACTCAATGGTGGACTTCAACCGGTTCATGCGCAGGACCTACTCGCTGCCTAGGGATGCAGTAACAGCACTTGGTGAGATCCCGAAGACCAGGCCAAGGTTGCTGATTATCTCCAGGCAAAGGACAAGAATGTTCCTCAATCTCAAGGAGATTGTGGCCATGGCTGAGGAGATAGGCTATGACGTGGTGGTTGAAGAGGCCAATGTGAACTCCAATGTCGCCCATTTTGCCAAGGTAGTTAACTCCGTCGATGTGATGATGGGTGTCCATGGTGCTGGGCTCACAAATTGTGTGTTCCTTCCACACAGTGCCATACTAATTCAGATTGTACCTTGGGGTGCCCTAGATGGGATATGCAGGATTGATTTTGGCTACCCAGCAGAACAAATGGGCTTGAGATACAAGCACTACAGCATAGGTGTGCACGAAAGCAGCCTCACGGAGCAATACCCCCTGGATCACGAGATCTTCAGAAACCCACTTGCTTTCCACAAGAATGGATTCGAGTTTGTCAGACAAACCTTCATGGATACACAGAATGTGAGGCTTGATTGCAACCGTTTCAGAACTATACTCTTGGAGGCTCTTGATCAATTGAACCAATGAAGACCATTGATTTAATTCCAGGGCCACTGTAGTAGATTTTTTTTCCTCTGCAATTTTAGTTTCACCATTTTTCTCTTTGTAAAATTTCATGATCATTGTCTCTGATTACATGAGCAACAGGAAAATCAATTATTTCTCCAAAGGTACGAAATGTCGTGGCATGGATTTCGATCATGCTGTTAGGACCTTTCGATGATGAGACAGAAAATTTTATTTTGTTTCTTGTAAATTAGCAGTCGTTGATCACAGAAATATCAGTGTAAGAGTTATAGCGATAAGCTGTTGATACATGATCACAGCGAATAGAATTTTCCAGGCCTGGCAGCATGATGGGAATGGGGTTGGTGGACATCACCTTTTTGCGCTGTGTGATTCATTATGTTTTTGTTCCCACTTTTTGGTTCTTGGACAAGAAAAAACGCTTATGCTGTTCTTAGGTGTCACGTACTCGGGTTCTAGAAGCTGAGATGACCAGCATTAGGATCAACATCCTGGTGGTTGGAAACCCACTCCGACTAATTAGTTGACTGGAGAAAGAGAACAGGGAGCAAAGTATTAGCTGTGTTTGAATTCAGCAGCATTCCTCTTTGGAAGGCAATGAAAAACTGGATGCCACGCCAAGTCCAAGTGGACCTTGTCCTCAGACCAACATAACTTTTCATAACAGAAACGCTAAACAGCAACCAAGTGTGTTGCCCAGCTGTGACACGCGATGGGCGGCGGTCATCCGATCGCGCGGGGAAGAAGGAAGACGTCTGATTTGGAGCGTCCGCGATGCTCGTGCCCTCGCACCCATGCGGCTCCTCCCTCACTCCTTCGGCGGTGGCGGGTTTTGGCAGTGTTGGCGCCGACGAGGTAGGCGGGCTCCTCCTCCTCCTGGATCTGTGCTCACCGGAGACGAAGACGACGACGGTGGTGGCTAGGGCTCTCGAAGCCTCTCCCCCTCTTTCTTCTCCAACTCCGGCCGCTATAGAATGGGTCGGCCAGGGGGAGGCAGGCAGGGCAGGAGGTGGGGACGGTGGCCGGGCGGATTAGGGGCCCTAGCGGTGGTAGCGGCGGCCAGGCGAGGTCGGGCGGGAGAGTCTCGCCGGAGTTGGACAAGATGGTGGCGCCCGAGGTCGCCAGAGTTTGGGAAGAAAGCGGTGGCGGGAGCACAAGAGGGTGGCCGCCGCGGGTGCGGTAGGGTCTCGCCGCAGCGGCGGGTGCTGGGCAGTGGCAGGGCGGCACGAGGAAGAAGAAAAAATCCGAGTGCTAGCTTACTGTGAAACAGACGGATGTATTTTTCTTTGCGACTAAACACACGGATGTAGTATAGACAGACTCTTTGATAAGCGATAATTTTGGAGAAAATTGACAGGATCAACTTTCGCATGAAACAGATTTGATGAAACGTCAATGTTTACAAGCCCATACAGAAATCAATTTTGTAAGCCAAGATACCATATGAATCATCCGGGATTTATTTTATTCCACCATTTTCCCCCAACCATGTGACCACACACATTTCATTATCAATGGCGGTGATGCATGCGTACTGTAGAACCACGCGCTCACTCAATTGCTTCCAGGAAAGGCATGGACCCGGAGATAATTGCGTGCCACATGCACCGGTGCCTCTAATTCTCTTTCCTCTCAGACAAGGCATTTGGTCGATTTTGATTGCGCTGAAATAAGGTATGCATAGAATCACATGCTTATCTATTTTACCTATCTTCAGAGCACTGATAAAGTCCTTGCGGTTCTAACAAAAAAGTACGGATCGGCCGGCGCAATTTGCATTGTGATCCAATCTAAGAACAAGGAATAGGGAAAAGGTGGCAAGCACATGTGGACCACATGAAAGGGCGTGTCTGTGCCAAATTACGTCACTCATGGTTTGCACTAGATCATACAATCATATGGCTTATATTACCAACTTTGTGCTAATCATCAGAGCAGAGCATGTACAACCCACAAACAACAAATTATTTACAAGTATTTTCTACGTCACAGGCGAATGAATAAACAGCCTATACAATGAATGTTTGTTTAACTGTTTGCAAATTGTTTGAGTATGAATATGATTCACCATTGTATTGATTGTTGATACAAAATAGATCAAGTATAAATATGATGACATGATTATCATATTTTTTAGAACCATTGATACAAATGCTATATTAATATTTTTTTATATAATATTATATAATAAATTTCACAAAAGTAGCATATTCATGCAAACAATATTGTCAGTGTTTTTTATCGGTTGATATTTGTTTCTTGGGGAACCCCGTGTAACAGACCGGGATTTCCAAAATAGAAATTCCGACCTTTTTGCCTCTCTGTGATAGTTCCAGAATATCTCGCTATCACGGGTGTCCAATTTACAACTGACTACAGAGTCATACAACATCGGAGTGGAAGCGAAGCTTGACGATCTCACATCCAGAGGCATCCTTGAGTGTAGAACGAAACCAGCTACTAATCTCTACATCACTACAAGTCAAGAAATCTGCACACCGTCAAATGTGTGCTGGCCATGGTCAGCACCAATGAGCTTTAGTGGAAAATAAAAAATAAAGGGATCTGGCGATCCTACTCGTTTGGCAGTAGTTTGCATCCTTAGCACATGCAGAATAGCATAAAAAGTAGTGTATAAATCTTTTCTAAACCCAAACCACAATCTAATTCTCACCATCCACTCATCATCATCGCAACTCATCACTCATCATCCCTCACAACACCCTCATTCTCTCAGTCTAGTCAACGAGGCGGCCTCCGCGCGCCCCTCGTCTAATCGGCCTCAAGCCGTACCTTAGCTTCATGGGGAGAAAAACAGAGCACAAGAGAAGACTAGTGGGGTGAAACAGTTCTTTGTAATGATCATGACCGAGATCGCGGCTATATGTATAGTTTGAACTCTACAGAGTATGTAAACTTGGACCCAACAGGATCACCATCATCGACGTTGCACGGCGTCTAGGCGAACACCGCTGAAGAGCTAGCACATTCCTCGCCAGTCTACCCCTATGTGGAGTAGCATACGGCACGACGTATACACTTGGGATCGTGATGAGGGTAGCTGGAAAAACCGTCGGCATCCTTCTCACTATGCTCCTGGGGCTAAACCCCGTGCACCTCTCCTCCCACAAAACTGGCTTAGTCCACACTAACTCAACAGAATGGCAAGGACAACGGGCGACGGCTGTAGCTCCTGGAGTCAGTGGTGGCCAGAAGGAAGAGGAGGTAAGTAGTGGTGACAATGGGTACAGGGACAGGGCGAGAGCGGTGGCTGCGGCGCTATTTAAGGGCGCGGACGGCTAGGGTTCGTGGGGCATCGACGGTGGGATGCCTCAGCATCTATAGTCCTTGTCCATGTGTCAAGCATCAGGAGATGGGGGAAGGTGGCGCTGACGTCGAGGAGGGCCCGAGGGGAGCGGCTCTAGTGGCAGTGGCCGCCTGTGAGCTCGTCCACGCTAGGGTTCAGGTGTAGGGGTGCGACGCCTAGGCTTGGGGCTGGGCCTACGGCTTCTTGTGCCAGGGATAGGCCTAGGTGGGCCGATAGGAGAGGGCAGCAGGGAGGAAGCGTCCTAGGCTGAGAGGGGGAGGGGGAGGGTAGCGTAGCTAGGTTGGGCCTAGGCATGTGGGCCAGCACGGGAGGAAGGAAAAGGAGGGTCAGGCTGGGCTGACTAAGGCCTGTTGGCTTGGTTGGAAGGAATTGAGGCTTTCTATTTGCTATTTCTCTAATTCTTGCCATGGGAAAAGGTCCAAAGAACTTGCTAATTTATCCCTACAGTCAAACAATAAACTCCCATCGAAGAACCAACTCAAGGTGATGAGGACATCACCTGCCCGGATACAACCACATTAGCAACTTTTGATTCACGAAAATACAAACATGGATCAAAAAGAGTGTTAAAGACACATGGAAGGCATGGAGGACCAAAGAAGTTGATTGGGGGCCAAGTACAAGTATTCCCAACGTCCTCCACCAGGACACCACGTCACTTTTAGCCCAAGGAAAGAAAGAGATCAAATCCAACACGTTTTGGGGCTGGATTCGGACTGCAACACTGCGTCAACTTGAGACGGCCTCCACGACCTCATCCGGACTCTATTTTGGGCGTTCAAGTACTCCATGGAATCCTTATGAAGTCTATTTTCATATGGATTTGGACTCATGTCTATATCTTGCCTGAGGCGGCTGTAATGATCAAATTATTACCGAGAGGTTTTTTTTGTCAAAGGTGCTGCGTCGCCTTATTTTGGCCGATGGGCCTTGTATCAAGTTGGGTCCAATAAGGACGTGTCCTAGGGTTGGAGCATGACACTAGGAACCCCTGGTCGTCCTCCTAGGTATTAATAAGGATTAGAGCCACCACAAACAGATTGGGTTTTGTTTTGTTGAAAGTTTAGCCATTGCTACTTCCTTGTAGACGCGTATGTTGACTAGACCATCCGTTCTACTTGATTCAGAACCCCAACTTTGTGAGTTCAGATTGTTTTTTCATCTCCATATTTGCAATTGAGTTTCTTGTTCTACTTGTTCTTGCTTGTTCCTCGATTCCTTGCAGGAATTACCCTAGTGGTTTGGTTGATCGTGCTCCACAAGATCGCGACGACCATTGGAGGTGGTGTATCGGTTGCTAAGGCACAACATCCTTGGATGGTAGTAGTTGGTCCGTGAACGACATCTCCATCCCCAAATCAAGTTATCCACCTTCTCTCATCGAAAGATCAGGATTCACCCTAGCGGGTTCATACCAGTTGGTAATCAGAGCAAGGTTTATCGGTGAGAGACTTCGAATCCTTTACTGTTTTTAATTTTTCCTATAGTCTAGAAAAGCCAAAAAAATAGTATATTAGTTTACCCACAATCCTATAAACCCTTTGAGCCTTTGCTAGCACTGCTTAGTTAGGGCTTGTTGAGTTTTTGGTTGCATCGGTTGTGTCGAGTTGCTGGTCTTAGTGTCTACTCCTTTAGAGTTTTGAGTTCTATCACGTTTTGGTCACCACGAGAT